ACCCAATCATCCAAAATATATATATTTGGCCCTATGATGAATTCTTTTTTTTTAATAGAGAATATACTCTCAACAGTATGCCTTGTGTGCCAAGTCATTTGAAATAGGAAAATCAGGCATTTTATTCTTCATCCACAGTTCACTGGACACTTGGCATCATCCTGGGCACAGTGCTGGAAAAACTTTTAAGCTTTTGTAGTCAGGTTCTCATATAACAGAAAAGAAGTAACTTTTCCAATATAAACTATTATTTCCAATGTTTCTTCCCAGTCCTACTAAATTAAAACAATTGATTTATTACCTAATGTCACCTTTGTTGCCTTAACATATTTGTTACCTGCTGTTACCTTTCTAATTGAAAGGGGAATGCATCTAAACTGCATATAAGAAAATATAACATAAATAAAAACTTTACATGTCTAGACTGGATAGCTTTACAAACAACATTTTGTATATTCTCATTTTATATCACATATTTGCAAACAAAAATAACCCTCTTGAATGAATAGCTGTAATATCAAAAACTACTGGTTGAACAGATATTTCATACTTTCACTTGTAATAATTTGCCTTCTATGTTAGATATGTTCGCTGTTTGATGCTGCTTGAAATAACATCAGCTCATGGTGTGTTTGGCTAGCATGCACACTTCCAAATTACTGGATGGTATTAGCTACTCAATTAATTATACACCACTGAAATCATATTGTTCTTTTTTAATAAATTTTCCTTTACCAGTTGATAATGGGTAACTGTGGCTGGAAAAGAAATAAGATTCCAGAAAGGATCTGAAAATTCAAGAACTGAGAGACACAGCTCCCTCTAGAAGAAAAAAGAAGAAATTCCCAGTGGATGCAGCTGAAAAGAAATGGTGAAAACAACAACAAAGAATGACAGATACGCAAATGCTCAGCCGTTTCAAACCAACCATAAACTACTTAAAACTGCTATTGTCTCAGGGGTTTAGTCTCCCATGTGCAACCCGGTTTTTCTGGAGTAATCTCAATCAAGGTCAACGGAATTAATTCTAAGGTAAATGAGTTGAGAAGTAAACCACCTTTAGAACTGCAGTATATATTAGGGGTGGGGGAACAAACACAAACATAGCCTTCTTGGTCTCTGAACACTGAGCAAAGTATCAGAAACGTCATTCTTACTCTATCATGGCTAATTTAACACATACTCATAAGACCTATGGGTAAATGTCATGTTTATGTTATGAACCTCACAACAGACTGCAGTTTGTTTGAGTGGGCAACTTTTTTTTGCACATTGTTTATACAAATGACCTCTCTTCAAACCCTGCTAAATCCTAAGCAAAGGGAGCGTTCAGATGGTCAGCATATTAGCACTGCCTCAATCTGTTAGCTTTTCAGTGAATCCTTAAGAGTGCCATATAGACACTGTCCTCTTTTTAATATTCATTATGGTCACCATATTTTTGCAAGTGTTTTCTTTATGCACATGATGGGATATCTGAAGCATTTAAAATATCTATTTTACTAGTGCTTCAGATTAAAACAAGACTCTATCTACTATTGCACAGATTACTTTTGTACATTTAAAAGACCTTTCATATATTTGTCTGCATACCACATTTATTTACATAAACATATTTAAGGTGAAATACTCTACGTAAATGCCGCTATTAGACTACTAGAGATAATATCCTGATCTATAAAAACTCTTACGTCATATGCTAAACATCGGGAGTGCTGAGAATTCAACTTTTATAATAACTACTAGGAATAAAATTCAGAATGTTAATTCTGACGTATTTGTCAAGCTTTTATATATCTCAGAATATTGGATGTGGTTGAGTTTGAAAATCACTGTATAAGCAACAGCCACAACTGCATAAATGCATGCTTTAAATTCTATCTAAAGTATCATCAATTAAGGCTGAGCTTTCCAGAGAGGCAGCTCATAATATCTTGCACAATTCTGCAATGCACATACTGTACATCTAAAGATTTACTATTAGGACTTATTTCATGTTTATGGTCTTATGATGCTAATTAGAAAAATGGAAATTCTTCCCTCACATCACCAGGAGAGAGTCCCTTTTCTACTTCTGGAGCTCTCAAGCAATCTTTCTTACTAACTCTGTGCAAAAGTGTTACATTTGGATTTGTGCTACTTTTACAAACCATCAACATCTAGTATTGCTCATCCACTCCAAAAGTTTAACTGGCAGATGACTTAAACATGACATAATTTGTATTCATGTAATGGGAAGGCAAAAAGAGAGAACAAGTATTGGTATTCCAAATTGCAGATTAAAAACCATTTAAACCCAACTAACATGTTTGTATCATCCATTCAATAAGCACTCTTCAGCATCTTCTTAATGTGCAGAAAAATTAGGTTGGTATGAAACAGCTGCAGAGAAGCATTTCATGTTTTTTGCAAGGGCAAGAGAGCCAGTTTCCTACATAATGCACTTACTCTATGTCCTGTGGCTCTTTTTCAACATTTACTCCCTTTACAAGAGCTGCACATTGTCCTGATCTTACTGAGAAATAATTTTGTCACAGAACCACTTACACAGATGCGGAGTCTCTGACTTCAGTGGAACAAGACCAGTGCAAATGAGTATCATGAGAGGCTCTCACTATATATCTAAATTTTGGAGTCATATATGTTTCAAATGTTCTCACACAGCAGAACATAGCAATGTACTGTTGCAATATATGCCTTTCCCAAAGCATTGTAACAAACCACCATAACAGCAACGTTCGGAGGAAAGGGGAGGGGGAGGAAGTCTCTTAAACATAAAACTAGGTCAGGATTAAATAACAAGGAGTCTTGTGGCACTTTAGAGACTTATTGTAATAAATATATCGTTATTTAAGGTGCCGCAAGACTTCTCATTCTTTTTGCAGCAACAAAATCTGCTCTGGAACAGGTCAGGCTTACTTATTCATAAGAGCCAAAGTATTTTTAATGACACAAAGTCTCTTGGTGGTTTTACCTCCTCTGTCATTCCAACATAACAAATGCATGCAAATCACACATGTATCTGGAGGGAATCATTCACTACCTATATGGCTCAATAATACCTCCTTATAATATCAAGTTTAAGGAATGTGATTTAAAATATATATTTTAAGATTAATACTATGAGACATTTTGTTGATTCGACTAAATGTCCACACTTATATCTATAATCTACTTGTTACATCGGATTAGAATTAAAAATAACTCTACTGTTAACAATACTCCAAAAAGGCAGACAGAATGGGTATAAAACTAGGACAGCTATTCAAAACATGCTTCCACAAATAAGGGTCCTGTTATGGGTTACAACACCTAAGTGTCTAAAATTACTGTATAAAATGAAAACCAGAACATCTGAAAAATAGCAAAAACACTGCTAAAATATGGCATGTGCTAAACTGCACATGGTTAGAACCACTTAAGCACAAGGATTCCTTGTCTAGTCACAGATGGATATTAAGAAAACAAAACTTGACATCTCCCATGACAATTGGAGGTTAATATCAATTTACAGATTGTGGCCAAGTACATTTCTCTGCTTGTTTAGAACTCTACTAGGAAAGCTTTCCAGTTACATTTACATAGGGACTTCTTTCTACCATTTCCATTCTAACAGAAATCACTCATGTCTGATGAACAATAGTAAAAAGCAGCTTGTACCAGTGCTGATTGAATTACAGATTGTTGAAGATCCATTCTGATGAATGTGGTTTTTAATGTATATTATTCCAGGAAGTGGCTCAATATTTTTATAAGAAAACCTTTGGAAGAAGGGGTGGAATGATAACCATTTTAATAACTTTTTGACTTCTACTTCTTTAACTTTTTGCTAACAAGGAAGATAAGTCTGAATACTGTCCATTTTTAACACATTGTTAACACTGTAACACCATATGGCTGACATGTATTACCAGCAGATGATTATAAATTTCCCCGGGGATGCAAGAGAAGTACAGAAAGAACTATGAAAGAAAAACAAAGGTCTGGTTTTATTTAGATTAGAAAGCAGAAGTCTGCTAGCTCATATTGGATAGAATAAATGGCCAGTCCATGACCATCATTTTTTTTTTACAATCTCAACAGCATTACTTCAGTCACGTACCACCACCAAAACCACAAGAACAAAAATCTTGCACATCCCTGGGAGCACAGTTGAGGGAACAACATCTATATCTGCATCCAGCCTAATTACTGTGAATGCGAAGGGATGCAAGTGTATACTGAGCAGGGGGTTCTGATACCTGATGTTGGAAACTGCTGATGCTGAAACTCTTTCTTCTTCTTCACCAAATAAGTATTTGTAGAAGAAATGTGAAATCAGAAGCTTGATCTCCGAAAACTCACTCTTTAAAAATACCAAACCCCCCACTCACCCACCTTTACCCCCTGTTTTTTTTTCTTGGCAAAAATAATAGAAACAAGCAGGGGTGGGTGGGCAGATCCTTTCAGAAACCTATTCTATCTGTCAGTAGGAGCTTGAGGATCTGCTGGCTGTATTATAAGCAATTTCATCGCTTTGGACACTGTTAGCCCCTTCTTCTCACTGGACCGGAGTCATCCTCCACCATCCCCCTCCTCCTCCTCCTCTTTCTCCCGCCAGCCCCTTCTGGCTCCCTCGCTCTCCCCCTCCCCGCCTCCCTTTCCATTTCACCCCATGTCACCCACTAGCTGACTTCTCCTCCAGAAGAGAAACATGAGGTGGGTGGAGGGCTTTTCGGAGCAAGAGTGGGTGGAGATTGCCAGGCATCAACCCAACCCAGGTCTCCTCAAGTCTTGGAGGCACAAGGCAAACAGCTTCCCCAGCATCGGTGGAGAAGGACCATGTGCTCCCCTCCATGCCCTTTCAAGAAGGGACCACCTGGGTACTTCTCCGTTCGCCTTCCCTACATCCACACACACACACACACACACCACCACTACCACCACAACGCCTCACGGAGCCCAAGTCGCGGCCATAAAGCATTGCAATTGCCACCGAGCCCGGCGCTACCCTACCTTACCTGGCAACCGGCGGGAGGAAAAGGCGGCCGTCTTTCAGTTTTGTCGGCGGCTGGCGGTCTCTGCCTCTCCCGGGATGGGAGATTTCAGGAACCAATAATTAAAACAAAGAAGGACCGCATGGAGGCGAGTCAGCACCCAAGGAAAGAAGGAAGGAAGGAAGGAAGGAAGAGGGAAAGAAAGAAAGAAGGAAGGAAAGAAGGAAAGAACCGGCTTTGTGTTGGGGTTAAGTTTCAGCCACTGCTGCCTGCCTGCCTGCCTGGCTGGGAGGAAGGGGGAGGGGAGAGAGAGAGAGACACCGGGCTGCGGGCGGGCAAAGTGGGGAGGGGCCGAGTGGAGTCTAGAGCATCACCGCGCCGCAGCTTCTCCAGGAATCCCTCCACCGAGAAGCAGCCCTCTATCGCCCAGCCGTAGCCACCCGATTGGCCGTGAGGCGGGGATTGGTGTCCCCAGCAGCCAATCAGCTCCCCGGAATCATAGGTGGGGTTTGCTTAAGCGACATTGCTTAACCATCCCGTCACTACGTTGGCTTGCCGAGCTTTTTCTCCACACACACACACACACACGCACACACGCTCAGCTGGCCACCGCCACAGTTTCCCCGGGTCCACATAACACGCGCGCGTGCCTGCCCTGCTACAGTGGGGAAAAGGAGCTGGGGGAGGGAGTTCCCACTACGAATGACAACCAAGGACATCAAGGCAGGCGCTGGGACCGACAAAGTGGTTCTGCTGCCGTCGCCTGCCCGCCCTCCCCTTTCTCCACCCTAAGCTCTGCAATGGAAAGCCAGTCGCCCGGGTGACCTGATTCTCTCCATGACCCCCCCTCCCTGCCTCCTTGCCTACCTCCCTTGTCGCCCTTCCCGCCGCCTCCTGGAAATCATCCTCCCGCCCCGCGGAGGCATATACGCCCCAAATCTCCGGCAATTTACAGTATGGCATTTTCCTCACCATCGAAGGAGAGGCACAGAAAGACAGGATTGAGGGGGGAGCGGGGCGGGGAGCGACTCACCCAAAAAGCGATTTTTTAAAAAAGCGAAAGGAAAACCTTTGCCTACTCAAAGTACTGCCCCCCCACCCCCACCAAAGGATTGAGTCGGCTCTGGGTAAACTGTAATATTTCTTTCCAAACCTTCCCCCCCCCACACACACACACACAGCTTTGGGGTTTGATGGAGGTAAGAGACGGGGCGGGGGTGCCCTCAGAACCATAAAAGCCTTCGCCTCTCCCGCCTCACTCATTCCTCCCCACGCTTGGAGATGTTTTGCACCTTACACCGGGGATGCCTTGTGCAGTAGCAAGTGGCATTAATCTCACGGCGCCTTTTAGGGACTCTATGGCGTTCAGTGTTCCAGCAAAACAGAAAGGGGCTTTTTAACAGGTTTTATTCGTTATGAATTGATCTCATGATTGCTCCGTTAAAGGTAATTCTCAATGCATGCAGTTAAGCACTTTTCTTCAAGGAGCATCTTACAAATGTCCAATTAGACTGTGAGCCAGAGCTACCCAGAAGCTGGGTGGAGAGATAGATGAAATAATCCAGTATAAAATGATTCTTTCATGGCAGAGCTATATAAATTGCAGATTGGGGTGGGTCCCTTATGTCTTCTGGTACCTTATTGCCACATATCAATTCATGAATGCTTGAACCTGTATCAGCTGCATTTCCCTCCATGCATAAACCACATTTGGCCAGCAATATCTCTCAACATCAGAAGTCACATATGTTGGAATCTGTGACTGTTCTACATAAGCTTCTAGAAAGGTTCTGCAAGAAATTTAGTAGTGTTCTTGATACAACTATTAAGTTTCCCAGCCTACTAAGCTATTATCTATTTAAGTTGCACTGTTCATTCCAGTTCTCTGAGACAATTTTTATCATGCAGACTGAGGTGTGCAAAGCAGTAAAAATACAGTGTGTTTGTAGCCTTTGTGCAACATTGTTCATCCTTAAAAATGATGAACAGCTGTCCTGAGAGTCAAACTAACGGCTCATCTAGATCAGTGATAAACTACAGTTCTCCAGAGACTTTCTAGAATATGTTTTTCCAGGCCTTGCTCACTGCAAATATCAAAGGTTAAACTTAAGACCTAAAAGCAGAGCCATGTAGGACATGAGAGGAGACTTTAAGGAGAACTGACAGTTCTTGTGAAAAGAGTGTGGTTGTCCGGATAGAAGAGAGAGAAATTTCAGAGCAGAGTAGTTCACGCTGGAGTCAGTGTGAAGGATGTGGTAGACACTGGATCATGTCTTGCTGTGAGATCAGATCAGGATATGTAATGTCTGTGGAACCCCACTGAGAAGCATCCATTTCTTGAAAGACTCCTAAAAGACTGCATACCAACAATGTGTACTTCCTCAATGTTTAATTTTCAGAAACTAAATTCTAATAAGCATGTGTCTGCTCAGTTCATGTGAATTGTATGTTGTCCATAACAGGTAGATCAGATTTCTGTATCATGCAGAAAGACCAATCTCATTCTGTATGAAGCTATGCATGGGAGACTTTCTGAAACATGGTACAGTACTGGATTCACTGCCACCTTATTGTTCTGCAGAGAGGAGCTGCTTGTACATGATGATACTGCTGCCAAAAACAGTGTCTGCATATGATGACCTTCAAATAGCTCCCACAACACATGCGGTATAAATAGTTCGCTATATGTGTTGTCACTGTGAAATAGAAGGAACATGTACATACCAGTGGCACAACAAGATGTCTTGTTGGATGTGTCCGTATTAACTGCTAACTCCTCCAGAGGAACTTCCATATCTGAGGAACAGTTCTTTGGAGCACCATTCTCATAGTAGCAATTTTCAAGACCAACTACACATTCTGCTGCACCCAATAACATCAATCTCTTTGCACAGATGCAACCCCCCCAACAGGATTTCATTCAATATGTAGTTTTCACTTCACACTGCATGACCAAGTATTCTGCATTCAATGAGTTTAATTATTTCTTGGTCTTTATTCATTTAGTACTTTTCTGTCACTCTCTTCATTCAAAAAATTCTTAGCATCTTGTAATAAATTAACATTCCAAATGCCTCCAGCTTTAATGGAAGTGTGGATTTCGGTCCTTGAACCCATTCCATACAGCAGAACTGAGAATGTATAACATGATACTGTAGAATGTACATTTTTAAAGGCAATTTAAAATTTTTATTGCATATTACATTCTTTATTTTGAGGAAGGTGATCTGGAATATAAGGCTTCACAAAGGCAATAAACATGTACCTCTTCTGTACATGAGCGCCAGTTGACTGTTCTCCAATTTTCATTATGTTGGATCTTCAACTTTTACTCCTTTTTACTTTTTAGACTTTTCCTTTTTACTGATTAGCATAAACATATGCTTGCTAACATTCATTTTTATAAATTCATCATTTATTTCATTGTCTTCATTAAGCAACTTTGTAGACCATGTAAATTTTTAGCTATAATACTGTATTGTCTACATATCTATGGATCTGTGACATTAAAGGTTCTGAGCAGCTTCACAAGTTTAAGGATATTCAAACAGAGGATGCATGTATAACTCACCTCTTTTCTTTTGATAATTTGATGTATTTTGCAAAGCAGTGACTTCTGTATCTTCCATGTAACGAGCGCCATGAACTTTCTAAGTATGTAGAACTGTCATATATTACCACAACAAAGATGTACAAATCACATCTTCACACATTACTTTAGAAGCAAGAAAGGAGATGATGGAACACTTCTGTGTCCTCTCCTGGTGCTTCCTTGTAACATGCAAAGTCACATGCTGTGCCATTTTGAGAATAAGTCTTGCCTTTGTATCACTGTTCTATTTTTCAGATACTGTGCTGTTATGTTTTCCCCAAAGCTATCTTTCTTGGAAATGATTGTAAAGGTCGCTAGACATGCATGCTGTAACATACTGACTATATTTAAAAGTGTTCAGGATGATATTTCCAGTGGAAGCCAGGATGAATTGGCATCAAAAATCTGTTACTAGCATTTCATTTTTTTTCCTTATATTACAAAATGGAGGCCAGAATCCTATTAGTGTTTACATAAAGTTTGTGCAACTTGCTGTAGCTAATTGAGGCTAACTTGATGGGGGTGCTCTGCTAATTTCAGTTGAACAAGACATGACACAGCACTTTGTCAATTACAGTAGCTACAGCAAGTTATACAAATCCAAGAGGATTCTGGATGCAGTATTAAACCAAATTAAACCAATGTTGGCAGATGTTATTGCTTTGGATAGGCAATACAGCTATGGCTGTGTGTTTTCTTCCTTCAGTGCTACTAATTTCTGATATCAGTTGCAGTTTTAGTATTACTGTACAAATGCTTTGTAATTATGAAAGTATCTCTCCCATTTTTCTTTCATTGAAAACTCCTGCTTTGAAGAGAGTGGACAGCAAGAATCAGAATGACAACACACACATACACACAATCTAGTGGTTGTTGGATAAAAATACATTCAATGCTCTTAAAATATCTATTACATGCTTCCAGGAAATAGTACATATTGACCAATTTTCCAATGTATTTCAGCTGCTTGGCAGTAATGTTAAAATGCGGATCATGATCCTTGGTGCAGCTTCCTAAAAGGGTTTCCTATGGCCTACTTTTCAGAAGTGCTTACCTTTCACACATCGAAGTTGGTGACCAGATGTTTCAAGTATCCCATATTTTTGTCCAGCTTCTAATGTCAAGAATAGATTACTCTAATTTCCCAAAGAAAAGCATTTGTATTGAATATTACGTTTTGGAATGGATGCATCTTAATTACTAGAAAGGTTCAAAGTGCTGCTACATTGATTTTCTTGAAGTTTATCTCAATACCTGGCAGCAGTACTGTAGCTAAAGCTCTTTCATGTTCATTTGCTTTTGCCTCCTTTTTCATATCTACCATGTTGATCATTGCTTCTTTTTCTGTCCTTCCATTTTACAGATCAAGTCTCTGATCTTGCTGCACTAACAGTTGCTGATGTTTTGGTCTAATGTCATTGTGGTCCTATGCAGTCTCTAAAGCAAAATACAGTATACCCTCCTCAGAATAAACGTCAGCAGCCAATTCCAATCACAGGGCTGGAAAACAGTGATCTCCTATATTATGTAAGCACAGAAGACATCAGTAACAGAAATGGTGGAGT